AGACGGAATTAAGTATTTTTTCATTAATTTTTTGAAATAAAAATACAATTTTTAAAAACGAAATTTTAAGATCAAGTGCTCTTGGATTTGTTATTAAAAATATTTTTAGAGGACCACTAAGAAGTTATTCTTTAAAAAATCATAAACTTGATTTTTAAGGAATAATTTCTGAGGGCCAAGGAGGCTATTTTATAAAGAATACTTTCTTTTCTGTAAAAATAATATTTTTTACGAACTACCAGGGCTATAAGTGTGGATTTTTTAAAGAATATTTTCCGAGGTCTATTCAGGCTATATGCGTGGATGTTTTGAAGAATATTTTTGGAGGTCTATCTTGGCTATAGGCGTGGATTTTTTAAAGAATATTTTCAGAGGTATATCCCGGCTATAGGCGTCGATTTTCTATAGAATATTTTTAGAGGTCTATCCAGGCTATAGGCGTGGATTTTTAAAGAATATTTTTAATCGGTCTCTCCAGGCTATAGGCGTGGATTTTATAAAGAATATTTTCAAAGGTCTAGCCAGGCTATAGGCGTGGATTTTTTAAAGAATATTATCAGAGGTCTATCCAGGCTATAGGCTTGGATTTTTAAAGAATATTTTCAGAGGTCTATCCCGGCTATAGGCGTGTATTTTTTAAATAATATTTTCCGAGGTCTATCCAGGCTATAGGCGTGGATTTTTAAAGAATATTTTCCGAGGTTTATCCAGGCTATAGGCGTGGATTATTTAAACAATATTTTCAGAGGTATATTCAGGCTACAGGCGTGGATTTTTTAAAAAATATTTTCTGAGGTCTATTCAGGCTAGAGGCGTGGATTTTTGAAGAATATTTTCAGAGGTATATTCAGGCTACAGGCGTGGATTTTTTAAAAAATATTTGCAGAGGTATATTCAGGCTACAGGCGTGGATTTTTTAAAAAATATTTTCAGATGTCTATTCAGGCTATAGGCTTGGATTATTTAAAGAAAATTTTTACCGGTCTATCAAGAATATTTTTATCGGTCTCTCCAGGCTATAGTCGTGGATTTTTTTAAGAATATTTTTAGAGCTCTATCCAGGCTATAGGCGTGGATTTTTTAAGAATATTTTTAGAGCTCTATCCAGGCTATAGGCGTGGATTTTATTAAATCATATTTTGAGAGGTCTATCTAGACTATAGGCTTGGATTTTTTAAAGAATATTTTCCGAGGTCTATTCAGGCTATAGGCTTGGTTTTTTTAAAGAATATTTTTATCGGTCTCTCCAGGCTATAGGCGTGGATTTTTTAAAGAATATTTTTAGAGGTCTATCCAAGCTATAGGCGCGGATATTTTAAAGAATATTTTCAGAGGTCTATGCAGGCTATAGGCGTGTATTTTTTAAAGAATATTTTCAGAGGTATAACCAGGCTGTAGGCGTGTATTTTTTAAATAATATTTTCAGAGGTCTATCCAGGCTATAGGCGTGTATTTTTTAAAGAATATTTTCAGAGATCTATCCAGGCTATAGGCGTGTATTTTTTAAAGAATATTTTCTGAGGTCTACCCAGACTACAGGCGTGGATTATTTAAAGGATATTTTCAGAGGTCTATCCAGGCTATAGGCATGAATTTATTTAAGGATATTTTTAGACGTCTATGCAGGCTACAGGCGTGAATTTTTTTAAGGATATTTTTAGAGGTCTAAAAAAAAATCCTCTAGGTCGTGTATTTCAAAATTTAATTCGAATCCGTTTTCTTGTTCAGCCACGACGCATACAATTCATGTCACATTCACGTTTTGAACACCAACGATTGCGATTGCCGCCACAGCCTCCATAATAGAAGGGTTTGCAGGTATTCGAGGCATTCTCATACCACCACATGGTACGACCCATACAACCACGACCGCGATAGCCATTGTTGCGTGGCGGATAGCAGGCAGGACTCCCTGGAAATTCAAGAAAAAAATAGTTTATACAAATTTTAATTTTTGATTATTTGCTGGCAAACTTACAAGGCCTTCCAGGACATTGGCCCTGGGCCATAACCAGCATTGTAGCCAGTACTATAAATCCGATCAGGAAATTATTCATTTTTTTGGGGGGAAGTATAATTTTGATTTGTTGATAAGTTTTGGGGGTTCGGAACCTCATATTTATATCAATCTGAAGGAACATATTTTTGGGAACAACAGTTCATAAACATGCTGGTGTTTGAGCTGAAACAGACCTCAATTCCGCAAATAAATATTTCTGTCTTCTGTTTTTTTTCTTTGTAAATAAAAGTAAAAGTTTTTAAGGAATAATTTCTGAGGGCCAAGGAGGCTATTTTATAAAGAATACTTTCTTTTCTGTAAAAATAATATTTTTTACGAACTACCAGGGCTATAAGTGTGGATTTTTTAAAGAATATTTTCCGAGGTCTATTCAGGCTATATGCGTGGATGTTTTGAAGAATATTTTTGGAGGTCTATCTTGGCTATAGGCGTGGATTTTTTAAAGAATATTTTCAGAGGTCTATCCCGGCTATAGGCGTCGATTTTCTATAGAATATTTTTAGAGGTCTATCCAGGCTATAGGCGTGGATTTTTAAAGAATATTTTTAATCGGTCTCTCCAGGCTATAGGCGTGGATTTTATAAAGAATATTTTCAAAGGTCTAGCCAGGCTATAGGCGTGGATTTTTTAAAGAATATTATCAGAGGTCTATCCAGGCTATAGGCTTGGATTTTTAAAGAATATTTTCAGAGGTCTATCCCGGCTATAGGCGTGTATTTTTTAAATAATATTTTCCGAGGTCTATCCAGGCTATAGGCGTGGATTTTTAAAGAATATTTTCCGAGGTTTATCCAGGCTATAGGCGTGGATTATTTAAACAATATTTTCAGAGGTATATTCAGGCTACAGGCGTGGATTTTTTAAAAAATATTTTCTGAGGTCTATTCAGGCTAGAGGCGTGGATTTTTGAAGAATATTTTCAGAGGTATATTCAGGCTACAGGCGTGGATTTTTTAAAAAATATTTGCAGAGGTATATTCAGGCTACAGGCGTGGATTTTTTAAAAAATATTTTCAGATGTCTATTCAGGCTATAGGCTTGGATTATTTAAAGAAAATTTTTACCGGTCTATCAAGAATATTTTTATCGGTCTCTCCAGGCTATAGTCGTGGATTTTTTTAAGAATATTTTTAGAGCTCTATCCAGGCTATAGGCGTGGATTTTTTAAGAATATTTTTAGAGCTCTATCCAGGCTATAGGCGTGGATTTTATTAAATCATATTTTGAGAGGTCTATCTAGACTATAGGCTTGGATTTTTTAAAGAATATTTTCCGAGGTCTATTCAGGCTATAGGCTTGGTTTTTTTAAAGAATATTTTTATCGGTCTATCCAAGCTATAGGCGCGAATATTTTAAAGAATATTTTCAGAGGTATATAGGCGTGTATTTTTTAAAGAATATTTTTTCAAGGGCGTGTATATTTTAAAGAATATTTTCAGAGGTCTATCCAGGCTATAGGCGTGGATTTTTAAAGAATATTTTCAGAGATCTATCCAGGCTATAGAAAATTTAAGGATATTTTTAGATATATAGGCTTGGTTTTTTTAAAGAATATTTTTATCGGTCTCTCCAGGCTATAGGCGTGTATTTTTTAAAGAATATTTTCTGAGGTCTACCCAGACTACAGGCGTGGATTATTTAAAGGATATTTTCAATCTATCCAGGCTATAGGCATGAATTTATTTAAGGATATTTTTAGACGTCTATGCAGGCTACAGGCGTGAATTTTTTTTATTTTTAGAGGTCTAAAAAAAAAAATCCTCTAGGTCGTGTATTTCAAAATTTAATTCGAATCCGTTTTCTTGTTCAGCCACGACGCATACAATTCATGTCACATTCACGTTTTGAACACCAACGATTGCGATTGCCGCCACAGCCTGCATAATAGAAGGGTTTGCAGGTATTCGAGGCATTCTCATACCACCACATGGTGCGGCCCATACAACCACGACCGCGATAACCATTGTTGCGGGGTGGATAACAGGCAGGACTCCCTGGAAATAGAAAAAAACACAATTTTTTTTAAAAAGATTTAATTATTGATTTTATTTGGCAGACTTACAAGGCCTTCCAGGACATTGGCCCTGGGCCATAACCAGCATTGTAGCCAGTACTATAAATCCGATCAGGAAATTATTCATTTTTTGGGGGGAATTACAATTTTGATTTGTTGATAAGTTTTGGGGGTTCGGAACCTCATATTTATATCAATCTGAAGAAACACATTTTCCGTTGTTGTTTTTGTTGTTCCCAAACATGCTGATGTTTGAGCTGAAACAGACCTCAATTCCGCAAATAAATATTTCTGTCTTTTGTTTTTTTTTCTTTGTAAATAAAAGTATCGATTATGAAATGAATTATTGGACACAAACAAACATCAGCGAATTCAGTATACACGAGTAAACAATTTTATTGAATTTTGAAAACAATGATTTCCAGAAAAAAAAATCCGCAGAAATTAAAAAAATATCACACAAAAACATTTTTCTTTTGTAAAGAAAAAAATCCTCATGTCCTCTGGACCGACCTAATTAACATTATTTCTCTATAGAAAAAATCTCCAGGATCTGAGGACAACTTTTTTTATATAGAAAAAATTTTCAGGTCTAATTTTTTTCTATTGAAAATAATCTTCAGTATCTTTAGACAATTTTTGTTTTTCAATAGAAAAAAATAGATCTGGACCTGATCACAATTTTTTCCTATGAAAAAAATCATCGGAACCTGATCTTAATTTTTTTCTATGGAAAAAAGCCACAGGACCAGAACACAATTTTTTCTATAGCAAAAACATTATTAGGACCTGAAAACAATTTTTTCCAATAGAATAAAATTCCTAGAAAAAATAATCAGAATCTGAGGACACATTTTTCCCTAGGAACCCCTCCGAACCTGAGGACAATTTTATGTTCTTCTACACTTTTTTCTAAAAACACTTCTAACTCAAATATCTCTCTCTGCTTCTTCTCACTTTATACAGACCCGTCGAGAAAATCTGGACCTACAAATGTGAGGGTGACAAATGTGTGCGCTATCACTATTTAACCTTGGCCAAGGGCGAGAAACGAGTGCCTTTTATGACCTGTTCGATGACATGTGGTGACATCAACATTTGGCCACATCCCACCATTAAATCCGGCGTCAGTTCGAAGTCCCTAACATTTTCTATGGAAGCGATAGAATTGCGTATGGACACACCCTATCCTCAGGTCGAGACACAATTCCGACAATCCTTTGAATTGTTTCTCAAAGATTTGCGACGAATACAAAGACTTGATTTTCGAGATCCAAATGATGAGAGTGGTCATAGTTCAGATTCAGCGGGAGCAGGTGGAGCAGCTGCAGCAGTACCAGTTGCTGGCGCCGTTTCGGGAAATTCCGATACAGCCAAGGTGGATGATTCTGATCTTCGTAATGATCACAATAAGAAACATCATAAAAGACGTTATGCCGATGCGGGGCAAAGTGAATCGCATCGATTGCGAACCGAAAATTTGGGAGCTGCCTCGATATTGGTCAATGCATTTGGTGGCGGCGGATCATCGAGAAGACGCTGTGATATAGAAACATTTACGATAAATGTTAGCGTACATAAATTTTCCGATTTGCATTTAAATTTTGAGACCGATGAAAGTTATCGGCTGACCGGAGGATGTGAGTATAATAACAATTTTAAAAGATCCTCAGTGTTCTCAGATACATGAGATTTTTTTCTATTGAAAAGCTGATCTCAGGAGGCCTCCTGTTTTTCTATAGAAAAAATTCGTCAGGCCTCCTGAGGTCTGTTTTTCTATAGAACAAAATTCGTCAGGCCTCCCGAGGTCTGTTTTTCTATAGAACAAAATTCGTCAGGCCTCCGAGGTCTGTTTTTCTATAGAAAAAAATTCGTCAGGCCTCCTGAGGTCTGCTTTTCTATAGAAAAAAAAATCGTCAGGCCTCCTGAGGTCTGTTTTTCTACAGAAAAAAATTCGTCAGGCCTCCTGAGGTCTGTTTTTTCTATAGAAAAAAATTCGTCAGGCCTCCTGAGGTCTGTTTTTTCTATAGAAAAAAATTCGTCAGGCCTCCTGAGGTCTGTTTTTCTATAGAAAAAAATTCGTCAGGTCTCCTGAGGTCTGTTTTTCTATAGAACAAAATTCGTCAGGCCTCCGAGGTCTGTTTTTCTATAGAAAAAAATTCGTCAGGCCTCCTGAGGTCTGTTTTACTATAGAAAAAAAATTCGTCAGGCCTCCTGAGGTCTGTTTTTTCTATAGAAAAAAATTCGTCAGGCCTCCTGAGGTCTGTTTTTTCTATAGAAAAAAATTCGTCAGGCCTCCTGAGGTCTGTTTTTTCTATAGAAAAAAAATTCGTCAGGCCTACTGAGGTCTGTTTTTCTATAGAAAAAAAATTCGTCAGGCCTCCTGAGGTCTGTTTTTTCTATAGAAAAAAAAATTCGTCAGGCCTCCTGAGGTCTGTTTTTCTATAGAAAAAAATTCGTCAGGCCTCCTGAGGTCTGTTTTTCTATAGAAAAAAATTCGTCAGGCCTCCTGAGGTCTGTTTTTCTATAGAAAAAAAAATCGTCAGGCCTCCTGAGGTCTGTTTTTCTATAGAAAAAAAATCGTCAGGCCTCCTGAGGTCTGTTTTTCTATAGAAAAAAAATCGTCAGGCCTCCTGAGGTCTGTTTTTCTATAGAAAAAAATTCGTCAGGCCTCCTGAGGTCTGTTTTTCTATAGAAAAAAATTCGTCAGGCCTCCTGAGGTCTGTTTTTCTATAGAAAAAATTCGACAGGCATCCTGAGAAGAAATCCTTGGGGTCATAGGACCTGCATCAACTGTTTCTAATCCAATATTAATTCCCTTTTTACTCCCCTCTCTTTCCAGTTGAAAATGGCCACTACAAGGTCCAAATAGCTGCCAACTCCTTCTTTGGGGCCCGCCACGGTTTATCCACCCTCGAACAATTGATATGGTACGATGACGAGGATAATGTCTTGCGTACCCTCTCCAAAGCGATAATTATTGATGCGCCGAAATTTAGATATCGTGGCTTGATGTTAGATACATCCCGTCATTTCTTTTCCGTCGATTCGATTAAACGAACCATTGCCGGAATGTCACATGCCAAGTTGAATCGTTTCCATTGGCATATCACCGATTCGCAAAGTTTCCCCTATGTTTCGAAACACTATCCAGAATTGGCAGCACATGGTGCTTATTCGGAACGTGAAACCTATACCGATGAAGATGTTCGTGATATTGTAGCCTATGCTAAGCTGCATGGCATTCAGGTTATACCGGAAATAGATGCTCCCGCCCATGCTGGCAATGGTTGGGATTGGGGTCCCAAGCGTGGTATGGGTGAATTGAGTTTGTGTATCAATCAGCAGCCATGGAGTTTTTATTGTGGTGAACCACCGTGCGGTCAATTGAATCCGAAAAATAATCACACATATTTGATCCTGCAGAGGTTATATGAGGAATTATTAAATTCCACCGGGCCAACGGACTATTTTCATTTGGGCGGCGATGAGGTGAATTTGGAATGTTGGGCCCAGTATTTCAATGATACCGATTTGCGGGGCCTATGGTGTGATTTTATGATGAATGCCATGGCGAGGTAAGGATCTATTCTTAACCCTAAAAAATAAATAAAATATGTATCCTTTTTTGTAGACTAAAAATAGCTAACAACAATGTGGAACCGAAATATGTCACCGTGTGGTCCAGTGGCCTAACCAACACCCGTTGTCTTCCAAAATCACAATTTGCCGTACAGGTTTGGGGTGGCAGTACGTGGCAGGAGAACTATGATCTACTGGATAATGGCTTCAATGTGATATTCTCACATGTGGATGCCTGGTATTTGGATTGTGGTTTTGGTAATTGGAGAGCCACAGGTGAGAGGTCTACAAAGGGGTTTCCCTTTCGAATTAAAATTTTATTAATATGTTTTGGAATTGCTTATTACAGGTGATGCAGCCTGTTCACCCTATCGAACGTGGCAAAATGTCTACAAACATCGTCCGTGGGAACGTATGCGTTTAGATAAGACCCGGAGAAAACAGGTCGGTATTGAAGAGGGAGTGCCTTAAAAGAAGTTTATTTTTTAAATATTGTTTTCGATTTCTATTTCCAGGTCTTGGGTGGTGAAGTTTGCCTTTGGACCGAGCAGGTTGATGAAGAGCAATTGGACAATCGGTTATGGCCGCGAGCATCGGCATTGGGTGAAAGGTAAATGGATTAGCAACTTAATCTCAGAACCTAAAAACAATTTTTCAAGAGATGATAAACTGTATAGCCTGAAAAGAAAAAAATACTCAGGACCCGGGGACAATTTTTACTATAAAAGCAGTTTGTAAAAGGCAAAAGGAAACTAGATAGACCCATGATTCCTTTTGAGAATATGCATAGAATCACTTTTTAAGTCGATTTAGTCCCTATATATCTTTCGATTTGCACGAAATTTGGCATAGCGTACCGAATTAGGCCTAGAATGATGTACGTAAAGTTTCGTGAAAATCGGTTCAGATTTAGATATAGCTCCCATTAATATTTTCGTTCGATTTAAGGTAAATGGTGCACCAAAGTCCCTATATATCTATCGATTTGCACGAAATTTGGCATAGCGTACTGAATTACGCCTAGAATGACGTACGTGAAGTTTCGTGAAAATCGGTTCAGATTTAAATATAGTTCCCATATATATTTTCGCCCGATTTAAGGTAAATGGTGCACCAAAGTCCCTATATATCCTTCGATTTGCACGAAATTTGGGATGGCGTAATGAATTGAGTGTAGAATGATGAGTGGTAAGTTTCGGGAAAATCGGTTCAGATTTCGATATAGCTCCCATATATAGATTTGTCCCATTTTATGTAAAAGGTGCACCAAAGTCCCTATATATGTTTCGATTTCCAGAATGGCGTGTGTTAAGTTTCGAGAAAATCGGTTCAGATTTATATATAACTCTCATATATATTTTCGTCCTATTTAATGTAAATGGTGCACCGAAGTCCCTGAAAATCATTTGCACGAAATTTGGCATAGCGTACTGAATTGAGTCTAGAATAATGAGTGCCAAGTTTCGTGAAAATGGGGTCAGATTTAGATATAGCTCCCGTATATATTTTCTTTCGATTTGAGGTAAAAGGTGCACCAAAGTCCTCATTTATCTTTCGATTTGCACGAAATTTGGCACAGCATTCTGAATTAAGCCAATAATGATGTTTTCCAAGTTTCGTGTAAATCGGTTCAGATTTGCATATAGCTCCTATATATACTTTCGTCCGATTTTAAGTAAATGGAGCACTAAAGACCCATAGCTAGGCCGATTGACACAACGTATTGAAATTAATATAAATTAATCTCTGGGAAGTTTCCTTGAAATCGGTTCAGATTCAGATATAACATAGCTTCCATATCTAATTTCGACCTATTCATGTTTATTGTACGCCAAATAATCGTGTGTAAAGTTTGCTTTAAATCAAAATTTAGAATAGATTGCAGAATTGCATGTGTTGGGATTGATGTTAGTCGGATATAAAGAGCACATATTTAAGTTCGTTCGATTTCATGTCAATGTTCCTTTGACGTCTCTTAGGATACATATGCAGAATATACCCAAAGTTGTGAAGGGTATCATATAGTCGGCCCAGTCCGACTTTACTGCTTTCCTTACTGGTTTTAATTTAAATTGAATTTAATTTTTTTTCTTTCTTTTATTTCCAGATTATGGTCAGATCCTGATGATGTATCCGACATGGATACTGTACCGCAGGAGGTTTTCAAACGTATGTCCGTTTTTCGTACACGTCTCGTTGAATTGGGCCTTAAAGCCGAACCAATCTTTCCCAAATACTGTGCTCAAAATCCTGGCGAATGTATTTGATATTTTCTTTAAATATCAACGATAGTCAGAGGAGGAGATGGCCCATTACAACCACAACAACAACTAACATCCTCATTAATAATATAACACAGTCATAAAACTAAAAAGCAAACAAATGTTATGTTTCAAAGAAAAAAAAGAGAAAATAATTCATTTAAAAGCAAATGAAATAAAAAAAATTAGAATTAGTCTATTATAAAAAAGTAATTAAATTAAGTGTAAATGTTTCCTTCTTCAGTTTTGTTTTTTTGTGACAAAGACTTACGCTATAAGACACATAATGATGACATCAAACACACATTCTGACACATATATACGTACGTAAATATAAGACAGAGACATTTTCAATTCAAAGCCAAAAAGAAAACTTCTTTAAAGATATTAACTAATGATAATCTTAATGAAAAAATGGTTTCTTATTAAAATTAAAATTTTTTGTTTGTTTTCAAAAATCGATTCTAGAATCGATGTAAATTAAAAATAACATAAACAAAAACACAGTGCTACAAAAAATAAAACATATATTCAAAAAGGTGACATGCTATTTAAAAATGCCTTAAAACATTTTCAAATATCATGCCACATTTTTTTTTTCAAAATTTAAATTTAACTGTGCTCCGGAAACAAATTTATAAACAAAAATTCTGAATGCAATTTTTTTTAGAAAAAAAATTAGATCTTAGTTATTCAACAATGATTTTCAGGACCTATGGATTCTGTGGACTTTATGTTGTTGTTCAAAAAATGTTAAACCATTTTGTAGCACTGTTTTTTTAACTCGAATTTCTTATTTTTTTTTATAATTTCTAAAATTAATTTTTATTATAATTTTTCTTTAGATATTTAAGAGAGTTAAACTTGTGTCTTTTTATATATTAGTAAAATTTTTGTTTTTTTTTCTTTTGCTTGTTTGTGTATAGTTTTTTTTTTTTGAAAACCTAAAATAAGAAAATAATAATTCAACAACATAAAATACAACATTTGTTCCAAAACAATCATTCATTATTTGTGAATCATACATGACATGCACGCACACAACATACCTACACCTCATGTAAATGTATACAAAAATAGAAAACAAAAACAGGACATTTTAGCATAAAAACATAAACAAATCATACAACAATAACAACAATGCATTAATAGAACAATTTTTTATTTATTTTGATATTTTTGTTTGTTTATCGAATTACAAGCAAAAGTAAAAAGTATATATGTAAACTTTGTATTTATATATATAATAAGACCAATATGTATTTAACAGAACAAAAAATAAGAAAAAAGAATAACCTTTTCCTAAAAAAAATAATTCCTAAAACACTTTTAAGCCCCCATATGATCATTTTTCCACAACTTAAAACAAGAGATTCTTCAGTGAGGTTTCTGTGATTTTTTCTATAGGAAACAAAGGCATCAGTGTAAGCTGTGGTCTGACTAAAGAACCTGATGATATGTTCATGAAGAAATTGTTCTGTACCCATATCGTGAGATCATAGTTAAGTCTATAGTAAAATATATTTTTATAAAAAAATCCTCATACCTTTCTGCAGGAGAATCCTGAAGTCAAATTGTTTTTCTACAGAAAGCAAATTTGTTTCTAAGATTTTGCCTTTGAAATAAATCCAGAGGTCCTGGTCCTCAGAGGTCCTGAGGATTTTAAAATAGAAAAATATCCTTAGGGATTGAGGAAAATTTTTTCTTAACTAGAGATCCTTCAGTGAGAAAACAAAGGTTCTTTGGCTGAGGTCTGACCAAAGAACCTGATGATGTGTTCCTTAATGTCATGAGGATTTTTTTCTATACTACTCATATCCTGAGATCATAGTTATGTCTATAGAAAAAAATTCTCAGGACGGGAGGACAAATTTATGAATAGAAATTCGGAGACTAATTTAAAAATAAATCCAGGGCTTCGTTTTTTTATCAAAAATGATTCTGAGGACTTTACTATGGTAAAATATAATTTTTATAAAAAAATCTTCATTCCTTTCTAGCGGAAAATGCAGAGGTCAAATGGTTTTTCCAACAGATTTCACCTTTAGTAATCCAGAGGTCTTGAGGTCCAGAGGTCCTTCTTCAAAACATAATCAGCACTTTATGAAGATTTTAAAATAGAAAAATATCCGTAGGAATTGAGGAAACTTTTTTCTTAAAAAAATATTAAAAAAAACTAATAATAAACCTAATTTATATCATAGAAAATCCTCAAGTTCTGAGGATTTTTTTCAGAAATTAACTCTCAAAAGCTGAAGACTTTTATGTAAAAATAAAAAAGAAATATCTTAATTTCATGAAGACAAAAATTTGTCCTGGGTTCTGAGAATTCCTTTCTATAGAACAAAATTGTCCTCAAGCCTTTTTCGTCCTTAGAACCAGAGGACATTTTTTTTTTCTTTACAAAAAATATTTGCATGACCTGAGGACAAACAAATCTTCACAACCTGATGATACAGGAAAAAAGTTAAACTAATAATAATTCTCAAGGCCTGAGATCATTTTTATACCCTTCACCACACTGTGGTACGTACAGGGTATTATACATTTGTGCATATGTTTGAAACAGGCAAAAGGAAACAAGATAGACCTTTTGAGAAAATGCATAGAATGACTTTCTGAGACGATTTATGCATGTCCGCCCGCCCAAGATCGAAACCTATTGAAATTGGTAAAAATCGGTTCAGATTTCGATGCACCAAAGTATATATATATATCTTTCCATTTCCACGAAATTTATCATAGCGTACTGAATTAAGTCTAGAATAATGTGTGCTAAGTTTCGTGAAAATCGGTTCAGATTTAGGTATAGCTCATACATATATTTTCGTCCGATTTTATGTAAATGGTGCATTAAAGACCAATAACAAGGCCGATTGACAAAACGTACTAAAACTAGTATCCCTTCCAAAAGGCGACGTCTGTTAAGATACATATGTAGAATATACCCAAAGTGGTGAAGGGTATCATATAGTCGGTCCAGTCCGACTTTACTACTTGCCTTACTGGTTTTTCAGTTAAGATCCTCAAGATCTGAGTATAAATATTTTTCTTCCGAAATTAATCCTCAGAACCTGAAGGTATTTTTTTTTTTCTTTCGAAAAAAATTCGCAAGTTTTGAGGACAATTTTTTTCTATAAAGAAAGAAAACCTCAGAATCCAAGACACGTTTTTGTCTTTAGAAATACATTTTCTGGACATAAAAAAATCCATAGAATCGGGTAATAAATGTTTTCTTTACAACAATTATTTGCAGGACATGACATTTAAAAAAAAAAAAAAAATCTCAAGGCTTGAGGATACTTGTTGTCTATAGAAAGAAACCTTCAGAACCCAAGACATATTTTTGTATTTAGAAATAAATTTTCTGGATCGGAGGATAGTCCTTAGAATCGGAGAATAAATTTGTTTCTTTACAAAAATTATTTGCAGGACATAACGATAATTTTGTTAGGCAATTTTTTTTCTTTTAAAACAAATCTTCACGACCTGAAGATACAGAAATAAAACCTCAGAACCAAACAAATCATTAGAGCCTGATAACATATTTTTGTCAGTAGAAAAAAATCGTCAGGTCATAAAATAATTTTTTTTTCTACGAAAAAGAAGTTTTCAGGATACGAGAATATTTTTTTGCTACTGAAAGAATCCTCGGAATCAGAGGATACATTTTTTTCTTTAGAAAAAAAAAATCACAAGACCTAATGAACATTTTTTTTTCATTTAAAATAAATCTTCACGACCCGAAGAAACATTTTTGCTACAGAAATTACGTCTTCAAAAAGCAGAAAATAATTTTTTTCTAAAAAAATAAGTCTTCAAATCGTCTGAGCCTAAGGAACCATAGGATTCCTTCTTAAGGGCCTGAAGATACAGAAAATAAGACCGCAGAACCAAACAAATCATCAGAGCCCGAGGACACATTTTGGGCAGTAGAATAAAATCGTCAGGACCTAAAATAATTTTTTCTACGGAAAAGAAATCTTCAGTATACGAGAATAGTTTTTTTTTCTATTAAAAAGAATCCTCGGAACCAGAGGACACATTTTTTTTTTAGAAAAAATCACATGACCTAATGAAAATGTTTCTCTTCACTACCGGAAGATATACTTTTGCTACAGAAATGAATAGTTCAAAACCAGAGGATAATTTTTTTTTCTAAAAAAATAAGTCGTCAAATCGTCTGACCCTGAGGATACGTTTTTTTAAAAAAAAATATTTTTTTTATTTGAAAACACTTTAGGACCTGAGGATAATTTTTCTAAGGAGAAAAAAATCATAGTGATCTTAAACAATATTGTCTATAGAAACTAAATCCTCACGACCGGAGGACAACTTTTTTTTGGATAAAAATCATGTGGTCTGTTTTTCGTCAGGCCAGCTGAGCATTGTTTTTTATAGCAAAAAAAAAAAAAAATAAATAAATAAAAAAATCGTTGGGCTAGCCTGAAGTCTGTTTTGCTATAGAAAAAAAATCGTCAACTGTTAAGGATTTGTTTCTCCTCTTCCTGCATTTTTCCTATATATAAATTAAATTAATTACAAATTAACAAATGAAAAATAATAATAAAAAACTATGTGTGCGAAATGAAAGAAGAGGAGCCACATCGTCCCAAAACCACACAGAGGCATACAAGTAATAAAAATATTAAAAAAAAACATACAACCACAATATGAGAGTAATATAAAAAAAATAGAAAATATTTAAAGATTTATATATATTTAACTAATTGAATATATTTAAATAATTGAAAAAAAACATACTTATAAAATAAATTTATATACATACATAAAATATTTTAATTTTTTGAGTGATACCAGGTGACCTTAAATAAATAAATGAAAAAAAAACAACAATTCAAAGAATATAAATAAAAAATCGATTTATAAAAAAATACAAGAACAAAAAAAAAAAACATTAAATAATTAAGAAAAACAAAACATTTATAATATATAAGAAATTATGAAAAACGAAATGACTACACAAATATTATATATATAAAATTTATTAAGCAAATATTAAAAAAATA